AAAATCAGACAATTCTCCAGCTCGTGGCATTTCAGACAATGTTTTCAATTAGTTTAAAAGTTTTTTCTAAAAGTTTATATTCAGCGCTACAAAAGAAAAAAGGAAATTGAGGGAGCTATATATACTTGTTGAAGAAAATATCGATGCAAAGCACAATCAGGTGATCGACACCGAATTGGTTGAGAATTTTGTCAGGGGTTTATGATGCTCTAACTTCACAAGGGTGGCAGCTAAATTTTTTTGGTTACATAAAACTTAAAGTACAGTCATTTGACTTCAAAATGAGATGAATTTTAATGGTAGTTACTAAGACATTATTTGTATACATGTGGTTTAAAAAAAATTGTTTTTTATATGTTTTAATAGCTAATTCTTACTTTATACATATAACTTCGGCATGCCATACTCTGATATTTACACCATTAAAAAGAGCATTTCTTGGCGAGTCGAATGATGTAAATTATACTAAATTATTATGTGAATTTCTGAGTAAACTAGGTTTGAAGTGACGTGGTTTTGAAGAAGATCGCCGCTTGTACTTATACTTTTGGCAGGGGGGGTGTACTGTAACTTGAATAGTTTCCAAAAACGTTGTTAACGCTGATCCATTATCGTCTATTAGAATTGGGGAAGGTTTCGTAGTAACATGCTTAATTTTATAATCCCAGTAGTGTTAATCAAAAACGACATCTAAAAGGGCGAATATTTTAGACAATTCTTACTATCAACGACCATAACTGGGACCCACATGGGAAAAATGGGTGCTGTAAACTTTGTACACTTGTAACGCTAACCAATGCGAGATGCCACATTTATTTGCAAGTGCCAAGTCATTTTAAGCCGCCCACAACTAAATAGAAGTAGAGAAAAAAAAATTGGTTTCCGAGGCGATGTTGTGGGTGGTATTATAATATTTGTTATGAGATTCTCCATTTTTGAATGCTTATCACACCCATGTTGAAGGTTAATAAATTTTCAATTTTTTTGATTCTTATTTTATTTTATTTATATTATCTATAAATTGTTCTGTGAATCTTGAATAAGGAACAAAGGTAGCTGATGATATATTTATTAAATAATTTTTTATCAGTCAGTCTAATTAGCATCTTTATCTTCCCCGTGAGTGAATTCAGATCAACATGCTGATCACGATTATTGCAAAATTAAAAAAACTTCATATAAACGCCAGCAAAATATCAAATTTCTCGCGTTTCTCGACAAAGACAACTGATCTGTAAAAGCTTGGAAGATTATCCGGGCACATATACTTTTAGGCGGGCGGTTACTCATCTTAGAAGTGGATGTCATAAACAATATCAATAATGCGCTGACTGCTTGGAAGAACAACGCAGCGAATGGTGCAGAAGAACCGACGGTCACTCCTACAGGATGCACTACTGGACGCTTTGAATAAACAATCTCTTGTTGAATTGGTAGTAAGGCAGGAAAAGGTATATATAATGATACTATCGTCTTTTGCAAGCGCGGCACTTAACAAATCAGAAACCATCAAAACCGCCTATTCTTTCATTAGTTCATAACGACAACCTGGAACGGTAATATTAACGCTTCCCACGACAAAAACTGAAACATCGCCACTAATTATCAATAACACCCGAATAAGACGAGAGACTATGTGCAAACAAATAAAAATTTGCCGTATTATTAGGATAAATTCTCATTCGCTAATTTACATCATAAAAATATCTCAAGACTAGCATAACAGGCAGAAGTTCAAAAAAGCTAATGAAAAATTGGAAACTGACCTCATAACGCACATTTTATTTTATATCAATCCTAATCGGTAACACACTTATATTAAACGTTAATAGCATTTGAACAAACCTCACTGCATTACTCACTTTGTTGTATCAAAAAATCACCAACATATTATGCACAAACGGACTTGTGTAAACATTACTTTATAATGGAATAGAATCATCTCAATAAAGACAATTGTTACGCTTGTTATCTGTATATGCAACTTCCAATCTGAACAAAAGTGTGCAGTAAGGAAATTGTACACAACTCACACACATCTCTACCTAACCTCATACCCAAGTCACTAAAAATACATCTAAACTCCTGACGAATGAAAGCCATCGCCACCACTAACCAGCCAATCTATACATTCATTGAAATTGACAACCTTCTAAGAGATTATATCGTAATCGATTATTAACATCACGAAAGACAACATATGTTACATCTTTAACACCATATGTTTGAATTTGTAATACAATCACACAGATACCAACACATGCTATAATGACAAATTCCTTCCATTCTCTACCCATAGTTACTTGAATCACATGTCTACTGTCAGAATCTTAACATAACGCCTAACAATTGTTGATATGCGACAATCAATGAATTTATGTAAACTAAATTCAATAATTCGAGGCAGGCATTATACACTTTATTGCACTGAAAGTCTTCCAAGCTCAGGAGTCAGATATATATTCTTTTAACGTTATCACGTATTTATTTGCCACTGGCAGGTTGGTGGAGGTTTAATATATGACATTATGGGTAGACTACGGCCAACACGCCCGATTCAGCACCGGACAGATGCAAAAAAATTAGGACGACATTGATGCTAATCCTGATAAGTGTCCACACGAATTTGAGATCAGTCATATGTAGTCCTGCTATTCCACCATAACAATATGTAATCAATTCAACTTTACTTATTTGTATAAATTCGTACTCTTTTCTGAAACCTTTTAAAGTCGTTTCAAGAAAATTGACCAGTATCCAAACGTACATGTCAGTCCGATTAAAGTAATTACGAAATAAAGAGGTGAAGGCTTTTGACTATTTATGACTCTAATTAAAAAGAATAAATTAGTTAACTTTAATCAAGAAAATTAAAATTTGATCTACTGTACGAAACGTGTGAATCTTTTACTGTTGTACACAGTTTCGCTGCATAGCAAACAATTTCAAACCGATCAGATGTCAACGCATGCAATATGGTGCCTCGAAAATGCAATTTTTGTTCCCAACCGCAATGGGATTTGACATAAATTGCGATTTTCCACACCCTCATTTTTATATAAATACTGTATTTGTGTTATATAATATAATATACCACGTATATCGCCCGGTTTTGTTCAATTTTAACCATAAAATGTGATTTGGTCGACCTATAACCGTGAATAGTAAGATTAACGTCTAGGTAGTGGTTAAAATATCCATAAAAATTAAGTAGTAAACACTGGGAAAAAAAGTTTAGCATAACACATGCAGGGGGTTCGACCTTTTAAATATTTTGAAATTGGTTTACGTTTTAATTTAACATACAAATAGTCATAATCTAGTTTAAATTTTCTTGCGAGTAAATTATCTTCTTTATTTGGGTTAAGATTTAATATTATACAGATTAATACAACAAGAAGAAAAATAATAAGTTGACATACTTTTAGTCATTAATGAATTTTCTTACGAGTAAATCATTTGAGTGTAATTAGTTGCATCATCTTTATTTGGTTGAGATTTAATGTTATAGTTAACCAAATTCATACAACAAGAAGAAAAATATGACAATATTAGTTTGTCATGAATTAATTTAATAAAACTTTTACGAGTAGATATTTTAATACTAAGTAAATTATTACAAAAAAAAAAAAAAAAGAAAAATATTAGTTTGTTATGGACTAATTTAATAAAGTTTTTTATAAGTAAATTAATCATTACAAAAATAGAATGATTGTAATGACATATGCTAGGTGGAGGTAGCATATGTTATTTATATTATTATTGAGTCGATGTGACTCGATAAAGTCTATTAGATCCGAGTACACATTTACTTCATCCGTTAGGATGAAGGTTGTACTCGGATGTATTGGCTCGCTCACTTGCGTTTTTTGTAAAAACGTCCAAGTCGAATTGAGCCAAATACTGCCTGTATTCGTGGCGAGCTATCAAGATAGCGATAGTCTTGCTTCTATCATATCTTGATAGCGTTCCTTCGAATACGGCTACATCTTTAAATGTAACCGTTGTTCCACCCTAAAAAGTAATTACAAATTTTATTAATACGTCGAATGGTATTAGCATAAAGAAGAGAGAAAAAAAGATAGAAGATATTTACCTTACACTGCCCTATGATTGTATATTTTCGATATCCCCCAAACAAATCAAGGGCGCGGACTAGGATAGGGTGGGGAGGATTGTGTTTATTAAAATTTGCATGTTGTTATTTTAGAAAAAGTAGTAGAAGGTGGTTGTGGTAATGGTAGCATTCTGTGTAAAGAATAAGAAGAAATAGAAGAGACAGAGATGCTAACAAAGAGAGACGTTTGTATTTGAACGTCTTTATTTAGTCACCGGTCGTCGTATGTGTAAAATATAGAGTGGCGGCATAAGACGGTTCGTTATATATGTCGTATTTTGCTTTCGAAGAGAAGCAAGTAGCCGGTGGTCGATAAATTACTTGTTCGTTGTCGAGTGTCAAGAGTTCGTTGGTTTCTGGCTTGGAGTGACCGAGGACTGTTTGTTGCTGTGTATTGTTAACATTAGACTTTAATAGCGTTATTTTCAAGAAAAGAGGGGGTATATATAAGTGTGAGTGGACGCAGAATCGCGTAAACATGACGCATATTGATAGAAACATTTAGAATCATTTGGAAGGATTAGGGAGGTGCTTATATAAACAGTCACATGACATAGAAACATTTGGAAGAATTAGGGGGTGCTTATAGTCACATGCTGTAGAAACATTTAGAAGGTTTGGGAGGTGCTTATTAATTATAAACAGTCGTCATATCATGGAAACATTTCGAAACAATTAGAAAATTAGTGAGGTGCTTATATTTTTAGAAGATTACAGTAATATAAATATAAACAATCACACGTTGTAGAAACATTTAGAAGGGTTGGAAAGTGCTTATTAAGTATACTATAGAAACATATCGAAGGATTGGAAGGTGCTTATTAATTATAAACAGAATGTCATAGAAACATTTAGAAACTTTTGGAAGGATTAAGGAGGTTGTATTGATAACAATAAACAGTCACATGATGTGAGTGATGATGCAAATCACAAATCTGGTAAAGCAATACTTACATGATCAAATGTTCAAGTAACTTGATTCCTGGGCTTCTAGTGTCAAATATTGTTTACTCTCTGACAATGCCGACCAAAACTTTCCATCCTTTATTGAAAATTGAAGAAAAAATTTGTTGCCAATTTGTATTGGACGTTTTCATAAAGTTACCAAACTTGGTACATACCGTTTTTAATGTTATCATATGTGTTATTGATTTTTATAACTTTGAAAATCTGGCCTCCGTAATTCATAGATTTTATCATGCTGTTGAAAGTTGCCGAAATAACAAAGAACGCGCAAAACTACGAAATACTGTTCTGCAAAAAATTATTAATAGTAAAACACGCGTTATTGGAATGACAGCAACCCAACCAAGTTATTAAAAGAAGTTAAATCGAAATTGTCTTACAAGCCAAAAAGGCTGATCGACATTAATGAAACTCAAAAGATTGATGGTTCGATACCTTTTAAAGTCTGGTAAGCTGGAGGGGGAAGGAATGTGAACGCGCGATAGGCTATCCTGAGGGTTCTATCAGTATCGCTTCATTAATGGGTGGGTTCTGTGTGATTAACGATTATACGAATTATTCTCATGATAGTAACTCTTCACGATAACTACATGTCTAGACAAATATTCCCGTAACCATTATTTTTCCTAAGCATAGAGATGCGTAGCTCTATTTTACTAATTCAGTAATAGTATAATACTCTTCGCTTTAGCGTTGAGCGGTAATGTTATTATAGCAAAATAGTTGAGTAACTCAAACATGTCATAGGCTAAACGATGACTCAATTACTAATTACCATTGGAGTTAAACTTCGGTTCAGTGAATTCGGACAGCAAACCGATTATGACACTCTCAATTGAGGGAGTTGACATTGTCGAATACTCGATGAATATTCCCTGCTACGCAACATGAGTTATTACCTGGGTGGAGTATTATCCATAACCAGTTGAACGTAACGATGACATTGTCATGTAATTTATAATTATGAGATTCATAACGTTTACATCGTTTATACAATATCAGAGATAACGGTATCTTTCATTCACATGAAAGAACGCATTGTGAAACCATTACACTACGAGCGACTTAATATTTGGATTAAACACATAACGAAACCTTGTCAGACTTTTTTGTCGTAAAACCTGGTTAGTTTATTGCAAGCGATTCATTATTAAAACCGGTCAATTCGATTTAAATGCAATTTTACTCTTAAGTCTCCTGAAATGACTATCATAAAGAAGGAGTTTAACGACAACAAACGTCGCGATATGGAAGCAGGTTTTGCTATAAAACTTTCGCTACGATAGTTACGAATAATATTAATATGTTTATTACAAACGATCATGTTTGAGAAAAGTGAAACGTTCGTAGTGAATACGTTTGTTATGAATGAGTTAATGATTATTAATATTATTATTTGTATCAATACAAGGCGAGTCTTAAGGTCGATCCGATCGTCAATTCAGCCATGTTCTATAATTCTCGTTTATCAGAACAAGAGTTAGAAATAGTTTATTAATTATTTTCAGGCCATTAAAGCTCAGCTTCAGAACGTGAACGAATAATCGATTATGCTGAGACAGCATCGAGACAAAGGGTCTTTAAGCTTTTGGAACCGATTTCTAAAAAAGTTATCATCTATCTACTAATGCAACCAATACAGTCAACTACTGTCTATAGTCACACCATTTTGGCACAACGCAAATTTCGGAAAAGTGGGGATTATTAGACAGAGGGGATTATAGAGAGGGTTTATTTCTTATGTTCTATTAATACTAAGCAAATGGCAATGGGGTGATTTGGGAAAGTGTGACTATAGACAGAGTTTTCATATGGTGTGACTATAGAGGAAGTGATTATAGACAGTAGTTGACTGTACATATTATTTTGAGAATGAGTCAATCGAACGGCCGGCGGATGAAAGATTGCAATACATAATACATTGAGGATATTACATTTGCGGAGAAAATTCTGGAAATTCACATACCTTCCTACACACTATGAAACTTATTTTTATTG